TGCCAGATGGAGAAGGGAGAAAGAATGGGTGTACACCTCCCGGAGATGCCGCTGTCAGAGATGAGAGGCTCTTGTCCTGGGACACAGCTGTAGTAGTATCACCCTCCATCTGAGTTGTGTCCACCTGGACCTGAGATGTGTTCCTAGAGCGCTGATTTGGCTGCTGAAAGTGAACAGACGTGCTGGTACGAGTTGACTTAGTGGGCGGCTTAGGACCAGCCTTATACCTGTCAACTCTCCTCTTAGTCGTGGAAGTATCCTTGCTTTTCCTCTTTTTTGGTGGCGTAGTGAATTCGGACCAATCTGGGAATACCTCATTGTTTTGAGCAGGCGGTTGCAAGTCGATGGCCAAGTGGTGGGCTGTTTGACGTTGAAGGGCGTCGAGTTGGGCTTGGAGAGCCGCAGTGGCGGCTTTCTGCTGAGCCTCCTCCTGGCAACACTTGTTGTTTGAGGCGATTTGTACTTGTCCTTGCAGTCGTCGCAAAGACAAACCTTAGTTGAAGCAACAGTTCCCTCTTGTTTTTTCTTTCCATTTGGTCGGTGCAGTAATCAAAAAAGAAAACTTCCTTCTCGTTTCCAACCTCTGGAACTTGACACTCTTTGAACAAGGCACCAAAACCAAGCGATGTAGATTATTGGTTCAAATGGTCTAGTAGGGAATGGTCCATAAAAATGGGCGATCGGTCCATGTATTCTGGATGCGGTAATCTAGAACCTTGTTAGCGTTGCACCATGCAGTCATATCTCCACCCCGCACCGACGTTGTGCTCAGCCGTACCTTGGGCAATGAGAGCATTCGCAAATTCCGATTTGCAACCAATATTTGCAAAATGGGCCAATAGTTCATGAAACTTCTCCAAGCTTGACTCAGCTCTTGAGCTTCTCCATTCGGTCAGCCCATGCTCGGCACTTGATTTCACTCCACGGTAGGTGGCTGCACCTTCATGATCCAATACGTATGGAACCTTTGAAAACTGTTCTCTTGTTGTGTCCTCTGTCTTGTATGTGAAGACCTTTCAATCGCTATCGTCACTGACATCTATCCATGCTTTCAGCCAGTCATTTAAATTTTCAATGATCTTTTCTGCCAAATGGAACTCCTTTCTTAACCACTTGTCATAACGCTGTTTGAAGACCTTGGAAAAGCGCATGTCGGTGAGCTCGTCCACTGTCAACTTTTCTCCAAGCAAACCATTGGTCACGGCCCTAACAAGTGCTGCCCAATCATCTTTGTTGTAGTTGTAAATACAATCTTTCAACTACACAAGACACGGCCAGAAATGTTCACTTTTTGAATCAAGGGTGTCAATTATACGGCCCAAAAAGTGAAACAGCCCAAGGCAGCACTTGACTCTAATTCCTTGTCAGATAGGGCAGAAGAAGAAGCGGAAGCATCCAGTGCCCGTGCGCAGGAAGTGGATGCTAAAATCAAAGAGAACACTGTATCAAAAACTCCAATTACCATGGAAACTCTGGCTGAGGGTGATGCTGTGGAAAAATCCAGTTTAGATGCGGGAAATCTACTAAATAAAGCGCTGGCAGCATCAGATGAAGCAGACCAATTGTTGCAACAGGCGGAGGAAGCTTTGGAAAAGAGTGAAGCTACACTAGAAAAACATTTAATTGATTTTCCAGACTCAACCCTAGCAGAATAATAGATTGCACAGTACCACAGTACAGCAGTCAGCAGGCAGTACTGTATCGGTACCTGTAGATATGTAACTAGCTTAAAAAAATGAATAACCATATTGAATATAATAACGACCTCTTTTTGAAATAGGTAGAGGACAAGGCAGGGAATGATAATGTAATACTAGTATGTTTTGTATGGTAGTGTACCTCATCTTCCTGGCAAGCAAGCATTCTGGGCGAATTTATAAAAACAACAATCTGCAAGCTACAAGGGGTCCCATGTGTCCAAGTGGAGATGAATGACTCAGTGACTTGTACTCCTTACTCCTCCATTTGCCATGCAAGTTTTAAGAGAAGAAAAGAGTACAACAGTCTACTTGGTACTGTACCGTACCAGGTAGTGGTGGCACTATGAAATGAAATCTAATGAATACTGGGTACAAATTGTATGACTGGTTTGACTTTGTTCGATTTGACTGACTCACTGAAACAATGGGAATCGATGACACAATAATAATCCACAACTGACGGCTCATATTTCATAAATGGGGTTGGGTATTTTTGAAAACCGCCGTATAAATCGTACCACCTCTACGTGTCGTCAGCTTTCCTCATGAAATATTGTGAGATATGAATATGACGGAGGGCAGACCATTAGTTTTTGAAAATCAAAAATAAAGCACTTCTAACCCGGATATGTTGCTAGCTCTTTTGTCATGAGCTGCACTGGTCTGAGGCATTTTGCAATATGTGTCATTGTTTTGCATCAACATCACATCAACTTCAAGCTTGCAGGCAAAAGCCAAGGAACCGCAAAACAAACAAGCAGCACCACAACAGTTGCGACCTAGTGAGATAAAAATGACGACATGACAGGCGCCTGAAGCGAGAACGGCAGACTCCAGTGCAACAAGCAGCACAACAAGCGGAGAATGAATCATCAGCTTCACGCGAGCTGCAACAATACGCCAGCATTGTGAATTCGGAGTCAGAATTTTTGTTATGAGAGACATGCATTCGATTGAGAGGTCCTATGGATCAATAGAAGTGCAACCACCCCCCAACTTCGCGCTTGTTGGAAAGCGGTTCAAACGATTTGATCGCATCATGTCCGTTAAATGCTCTGCAACTTTGATGTGGGACGTTTCTTTTGATGCAGGAATGACGCCAGTTGCGTTGGTTTGACGCGGAGTTGCGTTAGTTTGACGCGGAGTTGCCTCAGTTTGACGCAGAGTTGCGTCAGTTTAACGCCGATTCCGCGTCAACTGACGCGGGTCGCGTCAATTTAATGCGGGCCTGCGTGTCTTCGACGCGGGACGAAACCCGCATACTGGTATCAGTTCCAACAAGATTGGAGTGTGTGAATGAAAGAGTGTTTGAGTTCCCACTCTCCTTCCAATGAGGGTTGCCCATTTTTTGAACAATAGATCTGATGGAAATAGACAAAGCTGGGGCACATAATGGCAATGATGCTATTTTCCAAGCAAGAAGCAACAACCTTATGAAGCCCTTGATGAAATTCACCAACAGATATCCCTGTCTTGCTCATCAACGGAATCCCCCAGATATAGTACTGCTCAAAAATCTTATAGAAAACATATTTGAGAATGGAGTTGGCAATATCGGAACTGACCTTTCTTTGATGAGTTAGGGACCACAGCTGTTCAACTCCTGGTGAAGCATGGAGGGTCAGATTGGACCACCATCCGGTGTCAGACCCCGGGTTTGCCCCACGATCAGAGCCCATACTGCAGTGAACTCATTGGTCTGATGGCCGGTATCATGGCAATTGATTGGCTCCTCCAGCAATGGGCCCCAAATCTTTTGACATGCCCCAGGGTTGGATTGCTTGTGATGGTCTCTCCGCCATTAAGATGGCTTTCAAAGATCATCGCCCACTTTCTCCCACTGACGCTCAGTTTGACTTGGTGTCATCTATCTGGGAAGCTATCCTTCTGTCGTTGGTGGATTGGTCGCCCCAGCACGTGTACGGCCATCTCGACAAGTCCAATATATTTGACAAATTGTCTTGGTGGGAGAAAAGGAATATGGAAGTTGATGAAATGGCGGTGGAGTATTGTAAAGAACTTGAGGCGGCTAATCATCTCATAGCTGTTAGAATAAAGCAAAATGTGCTCTATTGTGAGTGCCTTTAGCGCTCAGAACAAAC